GAGAGAGAGAGAGAGAGAGAGAGAGAGAGAGAGAGAGAGAGAGAGATCTCACTATGTCTATGTAGCCCTGGCTGTCCTGGAAGGCACTGTAGACCAGGCTGGTCTTGAACTCAGAGACCCAATTGCTCCTTCCTCCCAGCGCTAGGATTAAAGTTCTGAGCCACCATGCTGAGTCCTACTGAGCTTTTTAAAGAGATAAAGTCAGGTTTGTGTATCTTCGAAATCATGTCAAGGTGAACAGCTTCAGGTTATTTTCTCCAAAATGCACTTCTGTTTGTCGACTGTCTTTTCAAGGTTCCCTGAAGACAAGCAGCTAAATCCCCCACCAACGACACCACTATCACTGTGGTGAACTATCAGAGTCCTCCTGTTGAATGGAGGACCAAAGGAAGGTGGCTCCCCTTACATTCTGAGATGGGGTCTCTCCTTGAACCCGGAAACTCACCAATCTGACTGGACTGGCTGGCCAGTAAGTCCCAGGGCATATAATGTCACCACCTCCCAGCACTGTACCCAACCTTTTATACACGGGTGCTGGGGATTGAACTCAAGTCCTCATGCTTCTGTGACAAGCACTTTGTGAGTGAGCCATTTCCCTGGCCCTCAGCAAGGTGCGTGCTTTAACAAGCTTTCCAGGTGGATCTGGTGTGTGCTCTTGTCTCACAATCACCGTAAAGAACCATCAGCTGCTTATTGCAGAGTAGGAACCTGAGAGACTTAAGCCCCCTCACCACCCGGCTTTGTGCTTCCCTTCTTCTTCAGCAAAGACTCACCTAAGGAGCTCAGAATAAAGTCTACAGTACCCTGGGATACTTTAGGAAATGAGTCTATGAAACAAATTCACCTAAGGAGCTCAGAATGAAGTCTACAGTACCCCGGGATCCTTTAGGAAATGAGTCTATGAAACAAATTCACCTAAGGAGCTCAGAATAAAGTCTATAGCACCTCGGGATACTTTAAGAAATGAGTCTATGAAACAAACGTTGGCCCGGGGGTTGGTGGCCTGAGTGTGTTGTCTTGTCAAGGCTGGGTGTGGAATGGCAATGAGGGGAGCTGGGTTGGCAAGACATCATCTCAGGCTCTGTCTCCTGCCTCCAACACCCAACAGCCAGGAATCCAGAGGAGGCTCTTTCCTACAGTGTCCCCACTGTACAGCTCCTCACCATCTCTCAGTTATGGGTAGCGTCGGTGAGAGCTCTACAAAGGAGTCTTGCAAGGCAGGCAGGAACCTTAGGAAGGGAGGTGAGACACACCGAAGCGGGCAAGTAATGGACATGGGATTCTACTCTAGCAGTATTTCTAGTAACTGCAGAGGTGATTATCCCGGTAGTTGGGGTGGGAAGTTGAGAGCTTTCATGTAACTTGGAAACAGAATTGAGAGAGGAGGCAGAAGGGCTTGATGACCCATTCCTGTAATCCCGACATTAAGAAAGCTGTGGCAAGAGCATCGTGAGTTCAGGACCAGCCTAGGCTACAAAGCAAAATCCTGATTCAAAACAAAACAAAGGCAGAGGCATGTAGCAGTATGGGTTCGTATATGGGAGGGGCAAGGAGAAGAAAACCTCCATTTGAGTTGGTGAGTAGAGAGTTGGGAATAACACATCCTGGGCACAAGACGTCCTGGAATCATCTGGCTATAGGTCGGAGTACAAGCGAAAGGCAACCTGTTATTCCCCATTTCCAGGGCGCTGGGCTTTGGAGCCAGTCAAGGGTTCAAAACTGCGGCTGCAACTATGGGGGCAGGATTCGATCACTTGTCGTTGCTGTATATCAAGCACACAAAACAGCGTTGCACACAGAATAAAGTGTTTCTTTCTTTTCGGTTTTTTGAGACATGTTTCTTTGTGTAGCCCTAACTGTCCTGGAACTCGCTCAGTAGACCTTGCTGGCCTGGAACTCGGAGATCCCTACCTGCCTCTGCTGAGATTGAAGGTGTGCGCCACCACAACCCAGCTTTGGTGTTTCCTTTTTTTAAAGCGGGTATCAATATGTAGTTCAGGCCCGCCCACAACTTTTTATTCTCTTGCCAGGACCTGCTGTGGATACCCTGGTTTAAGGGATAGTCTCAGGGGGTTCGACCCCGCCCCCCATGGATGAAAACAAATAACATTGCTAAGTATATAAACGAATGGTTCCTATACCAAGCCTTTCTCCATCCGTACCTGCAAAGGTTGCATAATAATATCACACAGCCTAGAATTGGACGCCGAGTAGGCGCTCAACAAGTTGTGTTTTTCCGTCCCCTTGACAATAGACTGGGTCCCCAGGCGGTTCCTTTCTCTCAGGGCGTCTCCATCTCCGTTCGCCCCCGCAGCTTCAGCCTGGCCCCGGACGCGCCGGGAGGGGAGGGGATGGGAGGAGGGGGCGCGGCGGCTGTAGCGGGGAGCTGGCTCCCGGCTTACGTAAGAAGCGAGTCCGGCCGCGCTGGTGGCCGGGTAGAGACGGCGCCGCCCAGGGAGATCCTGGCTAAGTCTGGCCGCGCTCCTTTCCGCCGAGGTGTGTCTCTCTTCGGCTGCTCGGGGCGGAGGTGGGCCCCCCCTAGTTTCAGGCGGCGGCCACTCTGGGGATGCGACAGTCACCGAGAAGCGCCCGGCGAACGGCTCCCGCTCAGCCCACGTGCGGGGACCGGCAGGGGATCCCCGGGATCGCGCGCCCGGGCTGGGGTGCAGGGCAGGACCCCCGGTGGGTCTACCTGACCTCTGACCCCAGAGGGCCGAGCTCGCAGGGCGGGGGCTCCCGCAGCGCTGCACCGGCGTGGCCCGGGGCGAGGAGGTGGCGGAGGGCGGGGCTGAGGGGCGGGGCCGTCTTAAAAAGCCTCTCCTTCCCCTATAGGGGTGGCAGGCGAATCCCCGCTTGCGGAGGGTGCCGAGGCAGGGGCTGTCGGGCAAAGTGCGCGCGGGCTGCCGTCCAGGCCACCCTTTCCCCGCCAAAGCCATGGCTTCCAAACTCCTGCGCGCGGTCATCCTCGGGCCGCCCGGCTCGGGTAAGGGCACCGTATGCCAGAGGATCGCCGAGAACTTTGGCCTCCAGCATCTCTCCAGCGGCCACTTCTTGCGGGAGAACCTCAAGGCCAGCACGGGTGAGGGGCCCGGGGGGGGACAGGGGAGTGAGGGTGGAGACGAGCCCGGTGGGGGTAGTAGGGCCGGGAGCGGGGCGGTCGCGGGCACGGGTCCCCTCGGCTCCGGCGCCCTGCCCCCGCCCGCGTGTGCCCGTGCGGGCTCGTACGTGCCGCGGCGCATGCAACCAGTCGCCCGCCCGCGCGGCTTAACCGCGCCCGGAGGAGGCCGAGGCTGGCGGGCAGCGTCTCCCACTGCACCGGTCGCTCGCGCGTAAGGGGTGGGGGTTGGGGGGACCTTGCGCTCCGGGCCCAGGGAACCTAAGCGAGCCGCTCGGCGGGAACCCGAACTGGCCTCTCCCGCCGCGCCTCCCGTAATGCAGAGTCCCTGGGTCCCCTGTTGCGGTCCTGCCGAGCCGCGCGTCCCCTTCCCCGGCGGGGAGCTGGGGACCGCTCGCCTCCCACCTGTGGGAGTCGCGGCCGCCGGCGCGCTGGGACTCTGCGGCGCGCTCCGGCCTGGAGCCGAGCGCTGCATGGCGGTGAAAGGCCTGTGGTCGCTGCCGGCGTCCGCGGCAAACTGTCCCCGCCAACTCCCCTTCTCCTCCAGCCCGGCTTGGCCGCCTGGAGACCCGGAGACTCGTTCTGATAAATTGCATTTTGAGTTCAGCCTTTCTGCAGATGGCCTCTTGAGACTGTCTCTCGACGGGTGCGGTAAAGTTGGGGATCTAGATTGCCCCATCTCCCTAGTATGGCAAATTCCTCCCTTCTCCCCTCTTCCTTGGCTCCCGGTTCCAAAGGAATAAATGAGCATGAGAAGGCGAAGCCACTGCGAGGAACGGCGGGGTGCATACCCTTCTAGGATGCAGATGAGGGTAATTAGCAACTCGCTCATGAAATGTTACCCGTGAGGTCCCTCCCTATTTCTGTTGTCATCTGTGTCCAAGTGGTTATTGCTTCTTGTGGGCTAATTGTTCACGAATCTGCATTTCAGAAGCATCTGCAAGTGTGAACAGGTGGGTGGCGGACAATGTTGGAAAGCCTTTAAGCATCTCTGAAAGGCTGCTTATTCTGAAGCCGGTTAATAAAAGCCAGCTTTTCTTTGGATTCTTTCCTCACACCTGTGTCTGATACAGAAGCGTTTATGTGTACCAGATTGTATTTTGTTACTTCAGGCGCGGGGGGGGGGGCCCTTGGCCCCACCACTGGGGATTGAAACCTAGGCCTTCGAAAAGGCTAGGCAGGTATCGCACCAAGGAACGTCACTCAACACCGGTTTTAAATTAAAATTTAAAATCTTTTTTTTTTGGTATGTGAGTATGGTCCTATCATTGTGCATGTGGAGCTCAGGTCCTCAGTGTGTCAAGTGCCTTGAGACGGGGCTTTATTAAGTTACTAGTCATTCCTCTCGCTGGGGTTGTAGGTGCACCACAACCCCCTGTTAGGGTCGAACTTCGTGCCGATTTGAAGGCTAGGCAAGCCCAGTACTCCTCAGCTACATACATCCCGGGCTCCTCTTCTCTAATGCACTCTTCCCGTATTTGGAATACAGTTTGGGAGGGGGGCAACCTGAGGGTTTGTGTGTAGGATCCGGCTTCTTCCAGGTGAGGCTATGGAGAAAGCTGGCAGAGACAAAGCCAGCATAATACCCAGCCCGTTTCATAACATCCTCTGCCCTTTACTTCTGGAGTGGAGGAGTTACACCTGGCCTTTGTGGCTGGACTAGTGGCCCTTTTCCTTTTCAGATGGGCAGTAGGGGTAGCCACCGTTATTGGGGGCTTTAGGCTGCCTGGCTTCATTCAAAGGCCACACACTTGACTCCGAAGTCACCATTTACTGCCCCGGATAGTTGATGGCCTTCATGCTGAGGTGGTTGGGGGAAATTTGGCAGCTTGCTGGTCAGGTCAGCCTGGTTGAGGAGATGCATGCCTCCATGATGCTCCTCTCAGGTTGGAGAAGGAAGGCAAGCTTCTGATGCTCTGTCTCCCAGGCTCTGCTGGCCTTGCTTTTGCACATGAGGGCAAAGATGTCTGATTGCTCTTCAGTCAGCCTTAAGTCTCATCATTGTATAAGTGTAGTCCTCAAACGCAGATCCAGCTGCCTCTGCCTCCTGAGAGCTGGGTTTAAAGGTCTGTACCTCTCTTCACACCTGGCTCCTTTTCTACCTTTTAAAAGAGCATTAAGAGAAGGAGATAGCTGGGCGGTGGTGGCACACACCTTTAATCCCAGCACTGGGGAGGCAGAGCCAGGCGGATTTCCTGAGTTCGAGGCCAGCTTGGTCTACAAAGTGAGATCCAGGACAGGCACCAAAACACCACAGAGAAACCCTGTTTTTTTTTGGGGGGGGGGGAGATAGCTTTTTTTTCTTAGGAGTTTTGAGAACTTTTTCCTTGGCTGTCTTTTGTTCTCATTTTTTAAAAAAAGATTAATTTGTTATTTTATATGTATGAGTTTTTTTCCTTTTTTAATTTTTATTTATTTATTTGAGACAGTCTCACTATATAGCCCTGGCTGGCCTGGAACTCAGATTCACCTCAAAGGTGCTGGGGGAAAGGTGTGTGCCACAATGCCCAGCAAGAGCTTTTACCCTAATATGCAATTACTCCGCTAACAAGCCCCAAAGACTTTTCTCTTTTTTTTTCTTTGCCACTTCTTCCTGAACCTCACACAGACATAACTTCTTCAGTGAGGTCAGCCTGGTCACCTCTAGTCTCTAGAGTTGCCTTACTTGGACTGACAGTCTCTGAAATGGAGACATCTAAGAGTGTGTCATGCTCTTTTTTTCCCAAGGTAGAGAATATGGTGGTTCTCGGAAGTCAGCAATCTTGGACTCCATTCTTTGGCCTCACACATTTCTTCCACTTTTACACCCATCAGATTGGCGGCAGGGGATCCAGCAGCTTCAAGGCCACTTCTCTGCTCCCCTCTGGTCCACTGGGGGACTGAAACAACTATCAAAAACAGATATAGAAGGCTGGTGGGTTTTTAGTAGTATAGAACATCAGTCACTGTTTGCCCCAGGGCATTACCGCCATTGTCTATCAGCAGCTTAAGACTTATCCATAAAAACCTCACCAGAGGGCCGGGCGGTGGTGGCGTACGCCTTTAATCCCAGCACTCGGGAGGCAGAGCCAGGCGGATCTCTGTGAGTTCAAGGCCAGCCTGGTCTACAGAGTGAGATCCAGGGGCAGGCACCAAAATTACACAAAAAAAACCCCTGTCTTGGGACCCACCCCCCTCAAAAAAACCCACATCGGGTGTGAAGGGAATCTGCATGCATGCATAGTTTATGGCCTCCTTATAAACATACCAGTTAGCTTAGAAGATGTGAAGGGAATCTGCATGCATGCATAGTTTATGGCCTCCTTATAAACATACCAGTTAGCTTAGAAGACATGGATTTATCATATCCACCCTCTGCTGTGTGTGTGTGTGTCAATTCATGAGTAAGGTTCCTGCTAAGTGACATCCTTAACTTCTTGCACCTACCAGACTTAAAATCAAGGAATATTTTATCTGTATATGAACCATGTTCATGCCTGGTACCCACAATGGTCAAATGAGGGCATCAGATCCCATTAAACTAGCATTAACAGATGATTGAGACATGGATACTGGAAACTGGATCCAGGTCCTCTTGAGCACCCAGTGCTCTTAACCACTGAGCCACCTGTCCAACCCCTTATCATTTTTTATTTTTATTTTTAATTTTAAGACAGTGTCTCACTGTGTAGACGAGACTGGCCCGGAATGCAGATCTCCCTATTTCTGCCTGCTTAGGGCTGGGATTAAGGCACGCTCCACCACACTCTGCCCCGTTCTGAAGTTTGGTTTCTATAATTTTTTCTTTGAGACAGGGTTTCTCTGTGTAGCCCTGACTGTCCTGGAACTCACTCTGTAGACTAGGCTGGTCTTGAGCTCAGATCCGCCTGCCTCTGCCTCCTGAGTGCTGGGATGAAATGCCTTCTTTCCTCCACTCTATTCTTCCCTAATAAAAGTGACTTAAATGTTTTTGGATACCCCCCCCTCCCCCCTCTCCCATGAACTAATTAAAAAGCTTGACCAGGGAAAGAAGAGAAATAAAAAAGACTGATTCGTTTTGAGAGTGGCTTGTTCCTAGTGGACATGGCATGATGTCACTCTATCTCTAGAGGTCTCTGTGAGAGTCTTAGGGGCCACTGTCTTGTAAGAACAGCGTATTTTCCTGTCACCTGCTGCTTGCTTTGAACCTCCTAGTAAAGGCAGGAACCCTTCTGAAAATACAGTTTAGAGTTAAGTTTGAAGGTGACGGTGAAACACTGGCAAACCCAGGAAGTCAGTAGCAATTTCAGTTGGAAAGTAGCTCAGGCCATCTGCTCCAGCCTGGATTTGGCCAGGCTCTTGACTACATGGCTTGGCCTCCAGCAGCCACAGTCTGGCGAGAAGCTGCCACGCAGGAAAAGGGCCTGTGTGACCTCACTGCTCTGGAGAAGGAAGTCTTCTCACTGCCCTGCAGAATCCATCTCCCGCCTCTGCACTTACCGTGTTGATTATATCAGCTGTTTGGTGAATACAGTACAGTGAAGGCCGGTAGCTGTCTGCCTCATCCGCTGGCTGCATATCCACTATGTCCGTACCCCTGGTGCTGGGGGTGATCACATTGCTTAAGAAAAGGATGTGCCTTCAATTTTCTTTTTCCTAAAAAGTTATCTTTTTGAGACGAGGCTGTGTGTGAACTGTGTTGGTCTTTAACTCCCTAAGTAGCCTAGGCTGAACTTGAACTCTTGAACGCCAGTCTCTGCCCAGGGACCAGGTGCTAGGATGATAGGCATGTGCCAGTAGAAGCAGCTTAGGTGTGCTTCTTACTGTATCTTCTCCCTATAGATAGCATGTGCTTTACCCCTGAAATTGGGGTCTGGCAAATTGTAATGCAGCAAAAAGGGTTCATGTTGTCTATGTTAAAGGGACACGTCCAGTCATAAATTGTGTGTGTGTGTGTGTGTGTGTGTGTGTGTGTGTGTGTGTGTGTATTGTACCAGCAGTTGCAC